CTTGAAAAAGTGTGGAATCAAAATCTTGGTTAGTGGACAATTCAACATAAAATCTCAACGTGGTTCTCTTGCTAGACATCCACTGAGTCTATTGCAATGAAAACCAAGCTCTCTCCTCTCCTAAAACGCATTGTAAGCTTCCCTGAAAGTGGCCCTGTACACGAAAACATAACCTCTCATTCTTGCATTGTTTTGATAAATCATGGATATATTCTTAATCCTTGTTCGATTTCTAAGCTTTCTATGATATTTAATTGTATTTTTATAGCCTATAGCTCCATACCCGAACCTAGGGTTTTGGAGACTTGTATTTGGGTGTTTGTTTTACAGGAAAAATTAGGACCAATAATGGACATGGACTGGTTCAGGAGAGGAAGACGAACATGGCTGTGATCTTGGAATTAATTTCCATGGCCTGGAATTTGTTTTAGGACGAACCTAGGGATTTAGCTGCAGATAAAAATCCGCAGGTAAATAACCAGGTTGTAATGAAGAAGACGACCACGTGCCCCCTCCTCATTGGATCGTTCATAATTTCGCGCTTATTTTTATAAATTCTGGCATTTGTTTTGTTTGCTAATATATTAATTCTTACCTATTCCACTAACAATCAAAAGGCCTTGGTCCAGTGGTAAAGGCGTGTATGCATTGGCTAATGGGATTTGGGTTCGAACCCCAAGTCCTCCATACATTTGTGTTAATTTTTTCCCAGGAAATCCAATATAAGGCCAAGCGTGTGGTTCACCATATACCACCCTTCCAATTCTTGCCAGATGGCCTCCTGGCCAAATCTGGTGGCCAGGAATGAAAGACCATCATGTTCTCCAGTCAACATGTCACATGGAGGTGCAAAAGGTCAAAAGCATGCTTGCATAATTGGGCTTGGAAAATGCTGATCAAACATCCTGATTTGGGCCTGAACCCCCATTGGGTTATTTCTTTTCCTCTTTATATTTTCATTTTTATTTATCTTGTTTTAATTATTATTTTTATTTAACTAACCAATTAATTTTGTCTCATAAAATCAAAAACACAAAAATATGTTTTATTTATTAAAATTAACTTCATCACTTTTATTTTTGTAAATAAATTAATTTAATTGATTTAGCTTTAATTAGGTATAATTTCAATATTTTTGCAATAATTAAAATTAATGTAGAATATTCGGTTTTAATAATTTTGACCAAATTTATTTTATTTCCTTAAATATACAAAAATCCAAAAATATCCTTTTTTATTAATTAATTAATAATTAGCTTAGGTTTAATTCCAGTTAATTCAAAAATAACAAAAATCTTTTCTTTAATAAAAAAAAAAGGGTCAAAACCCTAAAAAATGCGCCGTTTTAATTTTCCCGCACGCGATCCATATTTTCATATTATTGTACTTGCTTCCGGAATGTAATAATTTTAATTAGGACATTATTTATCGCTTTATTTTATTTTCCGCAATTTAAGTTTCAAGGGTTATTTTTGGCGATGTAAATACCTGACGCCTTGTAATAGTTTAGATTTAATTTCCGCAACTTAAATTCCGCAACTATACACTGTTAGATGTTTGATAATAGGGAATGCATGACAAGATCGAATGTATGAACTTAAAATCAACATAGCTCACCCATGACATGTACAAAGATAATATAACCGAAATAACACACTCGCACATGCACACTCTTAGGGTACACCTCACTTGGTTGCCTTCGAACGTGGTCATTGAGTATAGGAAGTTTTAGAGGCTGTCCTCTTGTCCAAAGATCATAGTTGCCTCGAAACGGTTGCCTCGGAAAAATGATCTAAGACATTAGAGTTGCCGCTAAGGCATCCTAACATTGCTTTAGTGACCACACGTCCCTTAATCGAATTGACCCTTAAAACTCCAATAACGACGCTACCTGCTCATCAATAGTGGGATAGCGTTGTCTAAAGGATATTAGCACAGTTTAATTCCCTTTTCGAGTAGGTAAATGGTTCTTAAGTACTTGCTCCTTTTTAAAACAAAACAAAACTTTTCGCACTTACACCTTTTCAAACAAAAACTCCTTTCAAACTCACAAACACAAAGAAAAGCAAAATTTTGAAAACACTTTGAGCAAGTACCTAAGAGCCCGTGGATAACCACGGATAGAAAGGGTGCTAACACCTTCCCTTTCTATAATCTACCTCCCGGACCCGAGAAACATCTCGAAAAAGGAATTTTTCTGTGATTTTTTCCTTTCTTTGTTGGATAAAATAAAAGACGGTGGCGACTCTTGCTTATCGCGACATTTTGCGAAAACAAACGCAAAACGCGAACCAGCATTCCAAAATAGTCAGTTCTCTTCCCACCGGATCACAGTCAGAAATAACACAAAATATAGGTTTTGTGCAACTTTTGGCTTGAGGGAGTTTGGGAGGTTTTGAGGGCTTGTAATCTCGTGTCTTAGCTCATAAATTGTGTCTCTATTTATAAGCAAAATGTTTGGAATGCTCAAGTTGATCTGAATTCAAAATCCACGTTTAAGCTTAACATGTGATTTTCTTGACAAAACAAGTTTCCATGCCTTGTACCTTTGTTCATAGAGTTGTTAACCACTTTAAACACAATGCCTCTGACTCTGTAGATGAAGTGTAATTAGAGCAAACAAGTTAGGATCTCAATGCATTGACTTTGTGCATAAATCTTGCTTTTCAAGAATGGATATGTTACTTTCTTTCCAAAATGACAAATTGCTTTGGATAATGCTTGAATCACTTGGATAAGGGCTCAATCAATTGTGTAAACCATTAGTTATGGAGTGAAACACAAGTTAGAGGCCTGCAAAGCAAATATTATGTAACATGACTAGAGATTTGATCTATTGTTCATAATTCTGCCTTGTAAATCAAGAATGGAACCCTAACTTTATCTTTTCGATTCTCCTAGCTCAAGAATGATCTTAATGAGTTCTTGGAGATTTTGGAAAGCTTGTAACATCCTCTATAACCTTCATATTTTTCATTTTTGAAGAATCCAATTGGAACTATGTGAAAAATTGTCATGAAGTTGGTACCAAAAATCTGCCTAACTAGGTCAAATTTTCACTAAGTGTTTTAAGAAAAAGTTCATGACTTTATGGTCTTATAACTCAAAATATAAGCATTTTTTAGACACGATCCCTCTAACAAAAGTTTGTAGAATTCATCAACATATACAACTTTCATATTGAAAGTTTTCCTTGAATCATCTTGCATCATGGTGAAAACTTGGCATGAAGTCATGAAGAAAAGCATGTATAAAACACTTAGAAAAATTTCTAAGTCTTAGAAATTTTGACTTTTTAAGATGAAATTTGACTTTTTGATTTTCTTGATTATAAAGTTTCATATTTTGACATGTATTGATAAAATGTGATCTTTAAAACTTGATTTTGATAAAAAAGTCAAAGTTTGACTTTCCAGTGTATAGTTGATTTTTCATCAGTTGACCAAATTTCAACTATCAATCAAATGGCCTTGTGAAATAAATTGAATCATGACATTAGGTCAAGATGATACATTTGAATCCTTGATATCATGTTTCAAACCAATAAGTCATGTATTAGGTAAAAAACTCTTGATCAGTAAAATACAGTAAAAACCCTAATTTTGACCATTTTGCCCCTTTTGGTGATTTGAATAATTTTCTTGGAGATTTGTGATCCAAACTTGATCAATTGATACATATGAGTTTAAAATGTTGATATGGGTAAAAAATCTTGAAGTTTGACTATAAGTTGACCATAATTGGCTTTTTACCCAATACAATTGGTTTTAGGTCATCTGATCAATTGATTGAGCAAACTCGAACTACAAGACTTGAAACTTGACATGAGCAATCTTGAAGGTCCATAATGATCCATAAAAGTAATATGAGGCATTAAAAGTCCAATTGTCCTTGTGAAAACTCAAACCCTAATTTGAGATATTAGTGCTGAGGAAGTGTCTTGTCCTAGCCAATCCTTGTGCAAGCTTGAACTATTGAAGATCTTGTGGGAAATGTCTTGAGAATGAGAGGGAAAATTTTAGGGTCCAACACCAGGTCTGAAAGAACAAAAAATTAGATGTAGTGCAAATCAACTTACAAGCAGGCCATAGATGGAATGACTGGTTCTTAGTGCAGAAAATGTAGAATGTATCGGGCAGTAGCAGCAAAATTGAGGCGTGGGTTCCTCCGACTCAGAATATGCTTAAATGTAACGTCGATGCGGGGTATAACAATATTTCAGGTACCACGAACCGTAAATGGATTATTCGTAATAACCTTGAAAGCTTCATTTACGCAGGAGCAACTTGGGATAAGGGCACTCTCCCTATATTAGAAGCCGAAGCTTTGGAGCTTAAAGAAGCTATCAAAGGAGCCATTACGTTACAACTGGCTAATGTTACATTTAAGAGCGACAACTAAAGTCTTGTCCACGCTATTCATTCTAAGTGTAGTGGAGGACCCGAGTTTAGTTTTACTTTAAAGTCTATTAAATTGTTACTTCTTGTTTCTCAAAACTTCGAGGTGAAGTTCATCAAGCATCAAACGAATGAGACAACTCATTTCTTAGCGAAAGCTGCCAATTCTTAGTCTCGACATAGCTCATTTATCGTTATTCTGATTAATGATATGAATTGAATTTATTTTATTCAAAAAAATATAACATTTATTACATAAGGAACTAAATTGAAATCTTGAAACTAATTAAGCCAACAAAAATTGACAAAATAAAAAAGAAACTAAAATTGAAAATCGTACATATTACATCAAAATAAAAAAGCAGTTGAAATAATTTAAAGCATTGCTAATGCCTAATTGTCCAAATCGCTTTTATTTGCTTCTTTCGCTCTTGGAATTTCCGTGCCTCGATTGTATTGCTCGTTTTCATCAAAACCCTTGTTCCAGTTTCACAAATTCAATTACGATAAACGACTTTCACTCCCAAATTTCGTTGCAGTTTCTCGAATCGATAGCAACGTTGTGTATTCGATAAACGTATCTGGCTTCGAATTAGCTTCGCAATGGAATCAGATTTTGAGACGAACGATACGCTTACACTGTCACAGGATCCATTCGATGCCAACGACAATGTAACTTCTTATCGCTCTCTCTTTTTCTTAATTCTTATTAGTTTTCACTTCTTAAACCCTTACTCATGCTTTTGCTTGTTAAATGTTAATTGTTTAGTTTTAGCTAACTCTAATTCTAGCTTCTGAGTTTTTCGTTGATGCTGTTTATGGCTTGTTCAAATAATAACTTAGGGTTGAAGCTTTGATTACTTTATCATTTTGTGCTGCTTGTGTTTGAGTTTGAATTTGAATTTGAATTATATGCAAGGGTGAATACTATTAGAGTCGTGTGCTCGTGACATTGCTCAATTACAGTATTAATATCGCTTGTTATGTATGAATTAACAGGATAATTTGGATGCTGAAGGGGAAAGATGTGGAATATGTATGGATATGGTTATTGACAGGGGAGTATTGGATTGCTGTCAGCACTGGTATTTCTATTTTTCTCTCTTTCTTCTTCAATATGGGAAGCTTAAATTGTTTATTTTCTGTTTTTTATTTTCATCTTGATCTGCGATATACATTGTGGTTTGTGCCTTGCATTTTAATAAAAGGCTCGAGATTTCTCATGGGTAAGTACAATTGTTGACGAAATGTGCTGTGGTTTGTGCCTTGCATTTTAATAAAAGGCTCGAGATTTTTCATGGGTAAGTACAATTGTTGACGAAATGTGCTGTGGTTTGTGCCTTGCATTTTAATAAAAGGCTCGAGATTTTTCATGGGTAAGTACAATTGTTGATGAAATGTGCTGCCCAAATCTTATTGTGTCAATATGGCTCAAGCTCTAGTAAAAATTTATATTGAGAAAAATAAGAAGATATTGATTACAAGATGTGAAGGCACAAAAAAAAGGCTGTGGGGTTATACAATATATTGGAGAATTGTAAGGGTTTCTCTTGGTGTGACAGAGCGTGAATGAATTGCCATTAATGGGGAAGAATGAAGATGATCTGAAGTATGCTTAGGTGTAACACGCGAGTTAAATAGTGTATTGTAGAAAGTAAGTGTCTCCGTTTGTGTGATAGAGAGTGAATAACTTACCAATGGCGGGGAAGAATTAAGTTGATTTGTGGTTACGTGGGGGGCTGTGCCCAAGTGTAATGCCCCAGGTAAAATGTGTACTGTTGGTGTGTTAGATCATTTATTTATGAGGGATTTGGGTGTAATATGGCATATTTGGGAGTAGGTTGAGAGGTTTGATGGTTGTATTTGTCACTATTATCAAACATCAGCCATGGCGGATATCAGTGGCGGTTTTTGGAGTCGGCGTAATGATAAATATCGGCCGATATTGCAGGGTTTTCCACCATAATCCGCTATAAAGGCGCCACAAATCAGCCGATATTGCGGGGTTTTCCACCATAATCTGCTATAACGCCCCCCCAAAGCGGACGGTATGGTGGAATTCCAGTTGTGTGTCTGTGTGGAAGAATGGACATAGGTAATGTTGGCTGAACAACATTGATTTCTTATGTGCTTTTCTTCTTGCGTAGTATTGTAGTATGAAGAAACCTCACCGATATAAGTTTCCTTATGAAAGGGATCTCGTAGATACAGAGGCATTCTTCCTACTATCTGGCACAAGAAAATATTTTTTCTGCTTTTCTATCCTACTTCCTGTGGTTATACATTTTCTTTTGTATAGATGCCAGCTTCTGATTCTCGTTTATTAGGTATTTGACCATCAGCAGTATACTCTTTCAACAAGGACATTAAGGCTACTGTTGTTAGCCCCTTCAAATTACTTACTGTAATTCATTGTCATATTAGACTCTAGTATAGGACCTTTAAGAAGAAGATTTTTCTGTGTATGTTTGGGGGGATCTTTTTTCCGCTTGTATAAGGGACTCTATTTGTATTCATATCCAGTATGTTAAGTTTTCAATGTTTATCTACCAGTTCTCATTATATGTTGATGATTCCCTTCCTTCATGTTTCAGTGTACATGTTGAAATATAAACATGACTTTTTTAGAACGGTTCATTTGTTTCACAGGTTCTGTTTTGTATGTATTGACAACTGGGCTACCATCACTAATCTCTGCCCACTTTGCCAGAATGAGTTTCAGTTGATCACCTGTGTTCCAGTGAGTGCTATAAATTTGCGGAATGCTGATTTATCTTCATTGCTTTATTATAGCGCTTCAGGTTACAATTGAATTTGCTCACATTATTTTCTGTTTTGGACCATGCATTTGGCTGTTTTGCGTGTTACGATGAAACTTCTATGTTATTTATGCATTTAGTATCTTGAAAATACTATTGAAATTTGGTGCATGGCTAACTGTATCAAACTCATAATTGTGAAGGTATATGATACCATAGGGAGCAATAAAGTCGAAGATGGCTCATTCTTCAGGTAAGTTTCCACCATTATGTTTGTATGAATGACAACCAAATTTTTAATATTTATTTATCCACATTTATTAAACATTGTATTTTGAGAAATCTGCACACTTATTTATTTCTAGACTGTACCAATTTACTCAATTTAGAGAATAACAGTTTAGAGTTTTATCATTTAATTTTGATTAATGCTTTACAGTTGTCATTTTTCTACGACAAAAATAAATAAATATAACCTTTGAATTGTTTTCCTTCATGAGTGCAGAGACGATGACTGGTCGATTGACGGGAAGAATAACAGTTTGTCATTTCCCTCTTACTACATTGATGAAAATGTAATTTTCTTTATGTATAATACAACTTCACAATACTAGGCAAAAATATTGACATCTGGTTACTTTAGATTGATGCAACCCTGCTTCCAACATTTCTTGTCTTTTGCTGAGTGCATGTTTTATATGCAAAGATCTTTTGATTCATATGTTCATTTCTAGTGTTTTCTTAATGTTAATACTCTTTTCAGAATCATACATATTATACTCTTTCCAGAGTCATACAGAAAGTTTATAGTTGTGTGCAATATGTATCTAATATTTGACCATAAATCAAAAATAAATCGGAACCGAAAAGCACATGTCATAATTGATATGGTTTTATTTATCATAATATGTTTTTTGTTTTAGTTTGTTTACATGGTATGATAAGAGATAATGGGGAGACTGAAGAGGATTAAATGGTAATTATAAAAAATAAAGAACACAAATATACTGATTGAAAATCTTTCACTGCATTGACCCCTAAACCACTATTTGTATACTACTGGTAGTCTGATACTATAACTACATATTGACATGTACCTTTTCTTTGGGTGCACCACAAGTAACTACTATTTTTCTAATTCTTCAACTCAGTTACTTAATGCTTCTCTAACTTCATCAATATTTCTAAATAACAAAATCCTTGTAGCACTTGACTTTGTACAAGTCATTATTTTTAATTTTCTTTTTGAAATTAATGTATAAGACTAATCCTTAGGCATTTCATCATTTTGTAGGCAGTTACTTGCTTGGATGGCGATGGATGCAAAATTCGAAATGGATTGGCAAGTATTGAAGAAGATTCTGGTCTGGATACATCAATTGCTTGCGATTCATGTGATCTATGGTAAGAGCAAGTGAATGGATTAGGTTAGGAAGTTTCAGATATGCAGTTTTTAAAATCTTTTTTTGATTCAATATGTCTTTGAGTTGATTAGGTAAAATTTAAGTAGCTTATATCGTCTTATACATCTATGATGCTGTTAGGGCTCATCCACAAGAGGCATTTGGCAGAGTTTTGTTTTGTATTAGTCAGCTTATCACAAAAATTTGCAGATTAACTTGGTAATAAGTTCACAAAAAACACTAATAGATAGATAGTTAAGTCTAGAAGGGGGATCAGAAATTTGATGCAAGTCATATACAGTCAGACATGTATTTGCATTGTTTAGATGACCTTGACCTTATTAAAGTGTGGCTAATGGCCATGAGTGACCAACTCATTCTAAATACATAGTAGATCATGAATGTAAGAGAGGTGATATTAGTAGAATAGTAGAAAAGAGCTTGTACAAGTGTTTGTGTCACCTACTTTTATGGGTGGCTAGGGAATCTGTTAATGAAATTATCATAAGGATTTTTGGAGAAGTACCCCCTGATTATTGCTTTACCTGCAATGTGACAGGTATCACGCCTTCTGTGTGGGATTTGATACTGAAGGTACATCTGAAAGTACATGGTTATGCCCACGGTAAGTTGAATTTGCCAGTTGTTATGTTGGGTATTTTGTGCTTCTAATTACTTCCTTTTTTATAACGACCATTGTTATTTTGTACAAACATTTTATTCACAAATTTTGAAATTTTTTTAAGTCAATTACTCACAACATTTATAAATGGCACCGGTAACATTTGTATAATGCACCTGTAACAAATAATAACAAAGTAATACTAATAAGTAATAACCGATCAGAAATTGGCAGAAGAATAAGTATGACATTCATTTTGTACTATTTATTACTTGGTATTGCTGTTTTATTATTTATCTTTGATCTCAAATCTCCACTTGTACTATTTGTTAACATGTAAAGTTCATATTGGCTACTAGCAACACAACACATGATAAGTTTGAACTTTTTTGTTCAGTATGGCGTATGGGTCTCTAATATTAAAAAAATTGTTAGATAATCGATAATCTAAATCTAATTCTAAATGGTGAATTAGAAACTATTTAAGATGTGGTTAACTATCAAAAGAAAGAAAAAAGTCTTAGTTATCTGAATTTGGTGATAAACATATTGCTGACCTTTATCTTATTATTGTCACCTACAAAATTCCCAGGTAAACTTCCTTTTGTTTGAAACCTAAGCATATGAATTACTCTCTCCGTAATAAAGTATAAGCAAAATTAACAACTTACACACTTATTATGATAATTAATTATTCACATTTACTCTTGTTAGTCTCATTTAAAACTTCAACTTCATTACCTAAATTTCTTCATCTCATTTAATTGCATAAAATTAGTCTGCTGACAGTATACTGTATCTTGTTTTTTGTACTATAATATTCTAATTCAGGGTTCGTTTTAGATGCGAGGTTGATGAAGGTTCTAAAAAAACAGATACCAGTTCAATAAAGGAGGCTACCCTGGAGTGTAACCCAGATAATAATAACAGTGAATGTCATGCTGAGGATTCCTTTTCAGGAATAGTGTCTGTTTCCATTGCTGATACTGGAGAGACAGCTGTTGTTGTCTCAATGGTTGACCGAAACAAATGGGTTCCAGAAACAAACGAGAGAGGCCTTTGTCCTCCTGTAGTTGATGGGGATCGGTTGACTGAATCATGTAATTTAATGTCTGATACTAATAATCAGCCGCAGGCACCAGAGAAGACAACTTTGTCACCAATTATGAAGAGAGAAGAACTAGAGCTGTTCTTATCACACCAAACTTCTAAATCCTTCATGCATAATGATTTAAAGAAAAGAGATAATGGAACAAGATGTGAGCTGAGTAGCTCTGATGGAACCAAGTTATTTGATGAGTCCCATTCCAAAACTAGTCCATGCAAAACTGAATCTGATATGGGTCTTCATCTGGGTTTATCGCTGGGCTCTTTTTTAACTGGTAAACTGTATTACACATCACTTCCTTTTTGTTAGCTTGAAAAACATATCATTTAAGTTTTATTTTGTGTGTGCGTGCGCGCTCTACAATTGTAAGGTAGTCTGATTTTGTAATCTTAATGCACTTCTAGTCGATAATGTGGACACGAGCGAAACTAAAGATCAAGCAACTGATGCCCCATGCCCGAGTCCTGAAGATTTTCCTTTGAAAGGTACTGCGCCATTCTGAGAAATATGGTTCATTTTGTTTGCTTTACTTTTAGGCCCCTCTTAGACTGTGGGAATCATGGGTGGGTCATATTAGGGGCTTATGTGCATTTGAATTAGTTTTAAACCTTATAATGTCATTAATAAAATGTTCTCAGGAGATGAAATCGAAATCAATGCTTGTGAGGACAGTGCCAGAGTGGCTGGTAGAAAGAGGAAGCATTTTGATTACAGGTAGTAATTTATTTAAATCTAGTATCTTTTTAAGATAAATAAGCCATGCTCCTTAGATGTTGTGACTGTTAAGAGGATTGTGCAGAGACAGAGATAGTTGACAGGTACTGGATTCTTTTTAAATGATAAGTAGGGACAAGCCACTATTACAGAGACCATTATCTTTCACAACAATAAAATAAGTGATAGAAATTGCAGAATGAGGGTCTGCAAACCTCCCTGTCAGTTGGCCCAAAAGCCCAAATATCGATTGGATATCTCACCTCTATTTCCCCCACCCCCTTCTTTTTTGTTTCCGATAGTTCCCCCTTCATTTCTACCTTCATTCTCATGTATAGAAGGTTATTACAACCTCAAACCTCTCTTCTCCCCCTTATTTATAATTTCAACACGATTTAGCATTGCCAGAATGTTTAATGATAAACCTATAGGCTGAAGCACACTTTGCTTTAGTCCTAATATTTTTTATACTAGATCAAAAGGTTCAAGGTACTTAGTTTGTTATTAGTCAATCACCCTGTAGTCAACTCTTAATTAACAGAAATCAGTTACTCAAAGTCAATCATCCAATTAATCATCCTTGATTTTAGGAGTTAATGTGTCCTTAATGATTTTCCATATTACTTCCTATTAACAGTTACCAATATCAATTAGCTGTTTCTAATCACTACTTGAAGCTATTCATTTTCTTGCGAACCTATATGCGCTGTTCCACAGAAATTTATATATTATTTTATAACTAGGAATCTAAACCTAATTCTTATATATAGGGTCTGTTTTTTAGCATCATGCTTGCCTTAGAAGTATGTGGTTATTCCATTATTGGAATAAATATCATTATGAAAGTTCTGCTTCTGGATGGAACACAATAACAATTCAGTGCATTTTAAATCTTGGATTTTCGTAGTATTCACAACTCACGAGACAAAAGGAAAAATGAACTGAAGGAACCAATGCCTAGATATTCTTCTTACTCTGTTAAAATTGAAGTACTTTAGTCATCCTTCCGAAACTTACATTGATTATTTCAGATCTTTAAATGCATACTTTGTTGAAATATATTTGATGGATACTTTGTTATGTTAGAATCCAGATTTTCTTCTAATTATTTTACCCTCCAATTTCTTACTTGATATTACAGTCATGAGCAAGTTCATACAAAAGCTAATGATGAAGATGCCAAGCCCGAACTATTGGTTGAAGCTTCACAAAAGAAAATTAGAGCAGCTGATAATCAAATTATTAGTGCTAATGACTCGTCTGGCGCTCAACTTTCTGACGATGCTAAGAAAAGTCCTGCTCGAAAACATTCTCCAACAAAGGAGATTGCGGCATCCGATATAATGAATATAGTTAAAGGGACAAACCGTAGGCTTTCCAAGGGACTAGCTGACACTAATGCGAGTGAAAAGTTAGCTGTAAAGAAAGGAAACATGGCTGGGTTGAGGGTTAAAAAGATTATGAAAAGAGTTTCTGATGATGGAGAATCATCCTCAGTTGTCCAAAATCTAAGGAAGGAAATTAGAGAGGCTATCCTCAACAAATCCTCCATAAACTTTGAGGATAACCGTTTTGATAAAAATCTTCTTGAAGCTTTTAGGGTTGCTATAACAGGGCCTAAAACTGAACTTGTAAATAAATTATCCCCTACAGCTCTGAAGGCAAAGAAGTCAATGTTGCAGAAAGGGAAAGTACGGGAAAATCTAACTAGGAAAATTTTCGCATCATCCAATGGAAGGAGAAAGCGTGCATGGGATAGGGATTGTGAAATTGAGTTTTGGAAATATCGTTGCATGAGAGCTTCAAAGCCTGAAAAGATCGAAACTTTAAAATCAGTTCTCGATCTTTTAAGAAAAAGTTCAGAGAATCCAGAATCAGAGCAAACTCCCAGCTGTCAAGCCAAGAATCCAATTCTTTCCAGATTGTACATAGCAGATACATCTGTTTTCCCACGGAAACAAGATGTCAAACCTTTCTCAGAGCAAACTAAACAAAATAACCCTTCAGCAAAAGGGACAAATCAATCTGCTGATAACAAAATTATTAAAGCAACAGAGGTAAATTCCCTCTTATCAAAGACCAAAGTTTGTTCATCTGAGAAAAAAGTAGATAAGAAGATTGTACATGGTCCTGTTGGTAAAGTACATTCGAGCAGTCACTCAGAAGCAACATCAGTATCATCTTCTGCCGGTGCCAAAGTTGGCACAAAGGAGTCAGGCCTTAAATCTGATTCTGTGAAAGGTGATAAAAGAAAATGGGCTTTGGAGGTTCTTGCGAGGAAAACAGCTGTTGGAAGCAAGAGCACAGCAAATGAAAGCCAGGAAGACGATGCAGTTTTTAAAGGAAATTATCCTTTGCTTGTATGTATTTTATTTAATTAATTTTTGTATGCAATTGTTTATTTTACTACCTTTATCGTTGTTTATAACTTTTCATGTTTTCTTCATTGTGAGTAGGCCCAATTACCAACTAACATGCGACCAGCGTTGGCACCTTGTCGCCACAATAAAATTCCTGTATCCGTGAGGCAGGTATGCTATAGCTTTGATTTCCAATTCTGCCCTTTCAAGTTACATGTGTTATAGTTGGGGAAGAAAACTTGATATGAAAATAGGTGAACACTTTTTTTTTTGAAAAATTTGTCTTTGTTCTGTTCTTTTGGTGGATCCTTAGGACATATATTCCTTCCTGCAGATTACGGAACTAAATTAGCTTCTAGTTCTTTTCTGATGTTTTTCAAAACACAACATCCAATTGAAGCCGCCTTCTTTCTCTATTAATGTTTGTGTTTTCCATATTTCTGTTCTCTTAAGAGTTTGTTACTTTTAATATATTGATCAGGCACAGCTTTACCGCCTGACGGAACGTTTATTGAAGAACGCAAATCTGCCAATCATTCGCAGAACTGCAGACACAGAATTGGCTGTTGCAGATGCAATTAATATTGAAAAGGAGGTTGCTGACAGATCAAGCAGCAAGCCAGTGTATCTGAATCTTTGTTCACAAGAACTATTGCACCGCACAAATAAAACAAAATCGAATGTAGACCCAGACACAACTCCACCAACCTCGTCTCCAGTGCATACTGATCAATCAGAACTAAATACCGATGATCTTTCGTCTGACCCTGACGTTCAATTAGCGTTGAAAAATGCTGGTTTGTTTGATTCGCCACCAAGCAGTCCACAGAAGAACAATGAAATATGTAACGAAAATGAAGTGTCAGGGCCCAATGATATACTTGAACTAGATTCTCATCCTGAGCTGGATATTTATGGTGATTTTGAGTATGATTTAGAAGATGATGATTACATATGTGCTAGTGTTACAAAGGTCCCAAATCTAAAACAAGAGCAAAGTGAACCAAAAGTGAAACTTGTTTTCTCCACCACGAGCTTGAAGAAAACAAATAATGATTTGGATTGTGCAGACTGTAAGGGGTCTGAAAACAATGAAGTGCCAGGAGATGCCTCTTGCTCACCAAACTGTCAAAATGATGCAGTGCACAGGGATGCTACCATTGATGCAGATATTGGCCAGCCTTCGGTTTCTTCTGGGCTTCTACCATGTGAGGATACTGTTGAGCCAGCTGATTCCGAATTTGAAGAATTATACGGCCCTGATAAAGAACCACTTATAAAAAAGTTTCCAGATGGTGAATTACAATCATTGCATGGAGAGGGCAGGACTGAATCTCAAAGTGAGAATAACAACTGCCATAAGGACGAAGAACATGTCTTAGACAAAGCAGTTAATGGTGCTGAATTAGGGAATGAGAATCTCACAGAAAATGTGCTTGTCCCTACCATCACTGACAAATCTTCTAATATATCTGGGACTGATGAAAATAGTCAAAGGAATAAAGAGAAATCTGACATCCCTGCCCAGCAGTCTAACAATGAAAATCAAATAGCAAAGAAGGTATTAGAATATGCTTAGTTTAATAAAATTTTACCGTTTTTATTTTCTATTTTCACTTATAATTACAATTTTCATTTGTTTTTTATTTTTAAAGATTTGCACAATCTATAAAATAAAACTAAAGTCACTGTTTTCTATACAAATGTTTGAAAATAGGACACAATAAAAACAAGGTGGCAATTTTATATTTTATAATTAAAATTTAAAAGTAAATATAAGTAATGAAAACACTATTTTTTCTAAGCTATCATACTCATTAATTTCTCACTAATTTTGTGGTTTTTTAAAAAATATTCAATTTCTTTGGTTATTTGTCAAATTGCCCTTTTTCCTTAATAGCGCTGGTCTTTTTTTTTTTTGTATAGGTAGAAGCCTACATCAAGGAGCATATCAGGCCACTGTGCAAGAGTGGTGTGATCACGGCGGAGCAGTACAGGTGGGCTGTTGCAAAAACAACTGAGAAGGTTATGAAATATCATTGCAAATCAAAGAATGCTAATTTCCTCATAAAGGAAGGTGAGAAAGTAAAGAAACTTGCGGAGCAGTATGTTGAAGCAGCCCAACAGAATAGAAAAAATTGATTCCTATAGCATCAGTTCATCCTCAACAAATTTTCTCGAGCTATTAGTTCACCTTTTTGTTAGGTGTCATTCATTGCTCATCGTTTTAGAAACTTGCTTTATCAGATTGTTGTGCATATACGTTGGATTTCACACCATGAAAATGATGCTACATTGCACACCAGGGGGTTTGATTCTAAGAAAGAGTATTCGGGAGAGTGTGCTATGGACTGGAGTGTGATTCTTTCTCACATTCGTAGAAAAGAGAATTACTGTGCATATTATTAGCTAAAAGGGGAAGCGCCCAAAGTGAAAGGATGAAGATCATATATATTCCTCATGAACTCGGTAGGTCCCTATTGCTGGATTCTATGTTGGTGGAATTCCATCTTTCATAGTTCTGTTTTCTTTGTAGTTGTTCCAGTGTATTATAACAAGCACACCCAGAATGAAATGAAGTATTATGTATTGCTGTAATTGATTTATTCTGTAATAATGCATTGATAGAAAATAAGTCTTATGTATGCTGTACCAAGGAAAAACGATGAATTAAAATGGGAAGTAACACTTCCTGAAATAAAAATATTTGCTCAAAATTTCGTGAACTTATGTTGATATTGTTGTTTGCTGTTTCCTGCCAGTGCGAACCTCGAAAGTTAATGGGATGTATTTCAGAAAGAAAAATTAAAACATATATAATTAATAATTAAAAAAACAACAAAAGTCTGTATCATACACATTAAAAAATTTGTAGGATTTAGGAAAAACTAGTGAGTTTAGAGATTATATACTCAAAAGTAATTATACTTGAGAATTTCTTTTCTTTTTATACCTAGTAGTCATTTGCATCACGAAAATTCTAAAATATATTTTGGATATGTATATCCGAAATAATCTAATATTTTAATTTTTTATTTATTTTATTTTGAAAAGATATTTATTTATAATATAGTTATAATATAATTAAATTGAATTATTATTAATTAAGAATAACTTAAATTTATAATTGAAAACTAAATATTAAAGTAAATTTATGATATGAAATTAAACAATGAATGCAATAATTAAATTTCTAATTATAATGGTGAAATGTAACAATTGATATATTTTATCACAAAATAAAATGTAATTAAATAATCTCGATGTTCTAGACCATGTGTTCATGCGTTTCTGACATTTGCTCGACCTAACGTAAAAAATTCAGTTTTCTGAAAAATCGACTCTGAATTAAAATTTTACTGTGTTAATTCATCCGAGAAAAAAATCAGGAATTAAAATCCTCTATTTTTGGAACAAAATAGGGGACCCCACTCTAAAAACTCTAAATTCCTTGTTTTTTTTTTTTATATTTTATTTGATTTATTTCCCGTCTTCATATTTTCTAAAAAATCTGAAAATTTTTGTAGACACTTAATTTAATTTTATTTGATTTTTAGTTGTATTTTTAAATTTTTATAGAGTAAAATCTGGATATGCATATCCGAAACCACTTTTTTCGTAAAAAATGAGATGTATTCGGATATGCATATCTAAAACCACTTTTTTTCGTAAAAAATGAGGTGCGTTCAGATATGCATATCCAAATTCGGAGGGTATTTTGAGTTTTTCGGCAGAGGTCTGAAAGAAGAGTACTAGATGTGGAAAGAAATTCTCTTATATTTTTCTCTAGGTAGACAAATGAAGGTTGAATTATGGCTCTATTTAGATCCAACTTCCAAAACATTAGGTAATTCCATTCTACCAGATTTGTACGATTATACGCTAAAAATGTTGATACCACTATATAAAAGATGATTTGTGAAAGTTTTAAAACTTAGGAAAAAATTGTTGTTGGTTCACAGTTTTGAAAAATTTGTCACCAAAGAAATTATTAGATTGAATCGCGGACTAGGTCGTTCTCTTTAAGACGTTTTGCGACACTGCTCAAATTATGCAAAACATTCAAACTACCGCGTCGCCTCCAGGATAAAACAACTCAGTTCTATACTGTACTATTACTACTCGCACAATAGATAATCGGTCTAGAAATACACTATCAAATGGTACAAAACTAACAGAGTGAGATATGAGAGAAAAGAGAGAGAAAGCTAAAAGAGAAAAGAGAGAAACTTATTCTGTTATTGTTGTATTGGAATGGAGCATGATGCTCTATTTATACAAGAGGAGTTGAACATTCAAGAGTTAAATCATTCAAGCTCTACATTTAAGGATGATTTTTCTTATTGTATTAAATTAAGGTTGACCATAATTATTCTATAGTGTTGATTTTTCATATCCTAATATATAACTCTAATACTCCGCCACAAGCTCAAGGTGGCTGCAAAGGTTGACTTGAGGCAGACAGGTTGAGCTTGCTGTGGAGCTCCATAATTCTTGAACTTGAGAGAGGCTTGGTGAGGATGTCAGCCTTCTGGTCAGCACCAGGAATATGGCAGACAGTGAAAGACTTATTAAGGACCTTTTCTCTTACAAAAAAGAGGTCAATTTCCATATGCTTTGTTCTTGCATGAAGAATAGGGTTATGAGCCATAGCAAATGTGCTCTGGTTGTCATAATAGATGGCTGGAGTTGTCAAGGGAATTATTAGTTCAGCTAACAAAGTTTGAACCCATAAAACTTCAGCTGTGGTGTAAGCCAAGCCGCGGTACTCTGCTTTAGCACTAGAACGAGCAACAATAATTTGCTTTTTGGACAACTAAGAGATCAAATTAGGGCCTAAGTACACAGCTGACCAAGAGGTGGACCTTCTATCATTTGGGTCAACAACCCAATTAGCATCATAGTAGGCCTGCAGAGAGAACGAAACAGTGGAGAAAGGAGTGAACAATAAACCAGAGGTGATAGTTCCTTTTAGGTATCACATAATACGCTTAACATCTATCCAATGAGACTCTAAGGGGTGTGCCATGATCTGACATACTTTGTTAATAACATAGCAGATTTCTAGGCGTGTAATTGTTGCATATTGTAGGGTCCCTACAATGGACCTTTAATGAGAGGCATCAGACCCTGTTTTGACAAGTTTGGTGGTGGATGCCATAAGAGTAGCAACTGGATTGGAATTCTCCATATCAGTTTTGATTAGAAAGTCCCTTAGGTACTTAGATTGAGTGAGAATGAGATTCCCATTGGACAGTTTCTTCACCTTAAGGCCCATAAAATAATCCAAGTCACCAAGTTGTTTGAGAGCAAACACATGATTTAGTTGTTGAGTAACTTGCTTGATGAGAGGAGGAGAGTTTCCTGTGATGATTATATCAGCAACATAAACCAACATATAAATGACAACACTGTGATGCTTGTAGATAAACAGTGAAGTATCACACTTGTTGTTCAGAAAGCTAAAGGATAAAAGAGTGGTTTTGAGTCTTTCAAACCATTATCTTGGGGCATGTTTGAGGACATACAAGGCCTTGTGCAAGTGACAAACCAGAGATAAATTAGGGGCAGAAAATCCAGGGGGTTGCATCATATAGACCTCCTCTTCAAGAATTCCATTCAGAAAGACATTATTTATATCTAACTGCTGTAGAGGCCAATTATAAGTGAGAGCAAGAGTCAAATTAATTCTAATTGTGACCGGTTTAATAACAGGGAAGAAAGTTTCATTAAAGTCAAATCCATGGACTTGATGGAACCCCTTAGCAACAAGCTTAGCTTTGTACTTATTTACTGTCCCATCAACATTTTCCTTTACACAAAAAACCCACTTGCAACCTATTGCTTTCCTGTTAGCAGGCAGTGGTACCAAAGATCAAGTGTTGATCCTTATCAAGGCACCACACTCTTCTTGCATAGCAGGAAACCACTTAGGATCTTGGAGAGCAGTTTTAACACTCTTAGGCTCAGAATTGATAAGAAAAAAATGGAAGGATTTAGACGAGGTAAGGGTACACTAGATTTAGTTCTAATAGTCATAGGATGAGTATCGGTGGGGAGAGGTTTAAGGTTAGGATCCCTAGGATCGGAAATAGAGGATGATGGTGAAGTGGTAATAGTAGAATGATTGTTGGAATTTGAAGAGGGTGAAGGAGTATGATTAGTGCTGACTATTTGTGTTACAAGGGTGGCTGACACATATGCAGTAGGTGTGTGGCTGGAATTGGATTGAGAAGAAGAAGAGGAGTGAGAGGTAGTGGAAGCAGTAGGAACGTGAAAAACATTAGGGAAATCTTATGTGTTAAGGGTTACTTTAGATGAGGAGGAGGATGAAATGGTTGACGAGGGGAGAGAGACATTGGAGAAAAAAAGGTCATTGTAAGGAAATTTGGACTCATTGAAAAGAACATATTTAGAGATGAATATTCTACCACTTGGGGAGAGAAATTTGTAACCTTTGTGAGTTGTAGAGTACCTTAGAAAAAGGAACTCATGGGATATAAAGTCAAATTTGCGAGTTATATGGGCGAAGGAGAGGAAAGCAAGCACACCCAAAGACTTTGAGGAATTTATAGTCAGGATTTTGATTGAAAAGGACAACATATGGTATATGTTGATTGAGAGACATGGTTGGTAACCTATTTATAAGTAGACAATAGTTAAAAAGGCATGATCCCAAAATTTGAGAGGTAAAGAGGCATGACTCAAGAGAGTTAAACCAAGATCAACAATGTGTCTATGTTTCCTCCCTACTACACCATTTTGGTGATGAGTGTGAGGGAAAATTAGACGATGAATAATGCCAAGATCAGAAAGAAACTTTGTAAATGGGCGAAATTCACCACCCCAATCAGTTTGGAAAGATTTAATAGGAAATCTAAATTGTAATTTATCCATGACTTTAAATTGTTTAAAGATAGTTAAGGCTTCAGATTTATTTTTGAGCAAATAGATCCAAGTAGATCTAGTGTATGCATCAACAAAGTTGATGTTGTAGTGGTAGAAATATTAAGACAAAGCTATTGGATTGACTTGACTTGTACAGATTAAAATAAAAATCGCCACCACACTTTATTGTTTCCAAAGGAATGAGAAAAGAGCGAATAACCCAAAAGAGGGGGAAAGATTCTAGGTAAGGGGGT